TTTTTGAATGGCCTGACAGACGTCTGCTGGCTCTGCCGTTCGAACGGCTAGTATTTGGGATTAAAGTCTTTCCAAAACTAACCTTATAAATCCACAACCATATTAAATTAAAAAAAAATGAAAGATTTGCATAGATATCACACAATTCATATGTATTTATATATCTAACCCCTAAACTTGCCATACATGCCATCTAATATATGTATGGAAATGCATATTTAATTTTTTTTAAAGATTAAAATGATGATATAAATGTAAATATTCAAGAAAGATTTATATACATGCCACTTAATTCCCATGTATTTACAAAACTAACATCTAAAATATCCTTACACTACATTCGCTATGCATGAAAATAGGTAATTCACTTTATAAGTTAGATTTAGGCATTGGATATGCAAGTCCATAAGAATTGGGCGGTATGTATGTAAATGCCCGAAATTAAAATTTAAGTATTAGCTATGTAAATACATACAACTACTAAACATTTACATTATTACTAAATCAAAATATAAATTGATTGGACGTAACAACAAATGCCGCCTCAGTTTTTTTTCTCCTTATATTTTTTTTGTGAAATGTGAGCTCAAAGGACAATATCTACGATTTAAACCAACGATCTTTCGATGAGAAGTTACATTATCAACCATTATGCTACAAATAAATGTACGCTACCTCTATTTTTTCAAAGAACTTCTCTCAATTACTTGACCATTTATTAAAAAAAAACCTCAATAAATAAAATTAGACAAGCATCTCCTATTTAAAATTCAGGGGCATTTACATAAATACTCATAATGCTCATACATTTATATATCTAGCACCTATTTAAAATTTAGAGACATTAGATAAACACTACACAATCTTTATATATTTATATATCTAACACCTAAATTTACTTATTTACAATCCTATAACTTAAATATTTATTTACATTTAAAAATTTAAATATACACTTTTATCCATAATTTATAATTAAATGGTTATAAATTTAAAGTTCTGGATGTAAATAAGTAAGAATTGTGTGATATGCTCGTAAGCTTTCCTATATCAAAAGAGAATAAATTTCAAAATTAAGGATTTATTTTACATGATAAATATAATAATAATAAATTAATTAATATATTACATTCCTCTTCAAATTGGAGAGGTTCACAGCAAGTAATCCTCAGGGTTAAAAAGGTAATTTGGAAAGTCCCTCCAATTCGAAAACATAAACGTTCGCCTCCCCACTCCTCTGTCTCGACTTTTGCTGCCTCCCGGCCTCGCTGGTCCTCAGCTATCATGTTGTTTTGATCCCTTGCTTAAGATTAAAAAACGGAGCTTTGTCAAGCTGAAACCCTAGAGGCTTCTTTGAGCTCAGAGGACCAACTTCACGTCTGATGATCTGTTACTGTCTACTTGGCCATGGCGAGGTCAAAGCATTTCTCCACTAGTCGCGACGGCCGCTCGCGAAGGGGGTTCGGTTCAAATCAAACCGCTGCTCAGAAGCAGAAACAAACAGGTCTTCCCTCGGTCATCAAGTGTTCAGCTTACATTTCTTCGTTTTTACCCGGTACGTAGTAGAGTTGTTATTCTGAGTTCTAAAACCCTAATTGCTTTTCCTCAGAATCCGTAGATACTCACTCTGAGCCAGAATCGAATCACGCAGCAGTAAGTCGCAGCTTTGAATGTTTAATTCCTTATCTTTTTTGATATTTAGTGGATAAACATTTTGAAATTTTTGTGGTGGGTTTCAGGTGGGTGGAGCAGAAAATGCTGGGCAGCCTCATGAAGGTGGAGCTCCACATGGTTGCTCTTAAGATGCCTGAAAAAAATTGAATTATTTATTTCCTACATTTAGATATATATATATATATATATTATATTTCAGTATTTTATACCTTTGGTTGTTAGGAGAGGCTGGGGAAGCGCACCAGCGCTCTAAACGCAGATTCAAGCCGGGTACTGTTGCTCTTAGGGAGATTAGGAAGCTTCAGAAAACTTGGAATCATTTAATCCCCGCTGCACCATTCATAAGAATTGTATGTACTTTCAATCTAAATGATTCTGATTGTTTTAACCTTTCATTTGGCCATCTTTATTTTGTAATTCCGAATTTATTGAGGGGATTTAAAACCCTCAGATGAAATCAGAAGATCACATCATACTCTTTTACATAACATTTTGTTGGAATGATATTCTATTTTTAGAGCAATAAAATGACTTTGGTAAATGGTGAATTTTATGTAAATGCAGTGGATGCTTTTCTCGTGCTTATGCTTTTGTCCTTCTGTTTTGTTAAAACCAGGTGAAGGATATGACATTCTTTTATTCACAGGAGGTTAACCGTTGGCAAGCTGAAGCTTTGGTTGCCATTCAAGAGGTAAATTGAATGTTAGCCTTTTATTTGTGTTTCAATTTTTTTGCCGGTATTTCATGTATGAAAGAAAGCATACGCCATTTAGATTTTTTTTTTGGGTATTTGGGACATTGTGTGCTTATTAATACTTGATTCTGTTATCCACTTTGATGTATCAATATAGTAGAATAATGATTAATGATTCAATCTATATCATGTAGAAAAGGCTATGTAATGTTCGGGAATTGTAACGTCGCCACATTTTGTTAATTTGTGTCATGTCATTTTTATTGACAATTTAATTGTATTTTTGTGGTTCTCTCCTTGACATGTTTTGGTTTTGGCCTATTATATCCCAGGTTTGGAAGGTGGTATACTCGACATTTGAGACTAGATAAAGGGGTTATCATTAACTATTGAAATAGTTTTTAAGAGGCAACATTGATTAAATCCTAATATGCATTCGTGAGGGAAAGCTTAGATACTAATATTAATAGACAATAATGGTAAACAAAAGTAATTATGTAAGGGGTATTTGTGGATCAATTTATGTTCATTAGATTCATTTTTTGTTAATTTTTGTAAATATACAGCTTTTATTGTTATTGTATGTTTTTTGTTTTGGTCATGTTTGCTTGTGCACTTGTTGACATTTATTAATTGCTATTGATTTAATTGGTGATATTTAGATTTTCTTGAAAATTTTTGTTAGTGCTTGCTCATCTATAATATTTCTTGCGGTATTGGGCCTATTTTTTGGGGAATATTCACCCTTTACTACTATTTCAAGTTTTTTGCTATTTCTATGTTTGCTTATTCACTTGTTCCTAGATTCTACCATGGCACTGGTTACTTGCTACTTGTTCTATGGTGATAACCTGATTTTCTTGAGAATTTTTGCTATTGCTCGCTTATCTACAACAATCATTGCTTATGATTTGGGGAAATTTCGAAAGAAATTGACTCTTAACTTTTTGAAGTTTATAAATAGTAATTTCTAAGACATGAAAAAGGATTTTTTAATTTTTTTAAAATATTATTTTAGTTTTCAATTTTGTATGTGTTTTCGGAAATAAATAAATTCAAAGCTTATATATTAGGAAACTTGATATTAAATACTTAATTAAAGAATATCTAATATAAAAGATCTTTTCTATATTAGAGATATTCCCGATTTATAGAGGTGGAAGTGTATGTAAATATGTAATCTATGTTTTTTAACTGGATAATAAGAGAAGAAGAGTTGTTTTCCTTCACATGGTATAGGAGCCACCTCGAAGTGTTACCGTCTGCATTGTTTGTCTTTGAGGTTAGCCTTTGAGAATTGCTTGTCTTCGATTTTGTTCAGGTTGTCTGCATTGCTTGTCATTGACGTCTTCTACATCGCTAGGCATCGTTAGCGTCTTCAACTTCATCTGCTTCGTTCGGGTCGTCTGCAATGCTAAGCTTCGATGACGTCTTTAGTTTCGTTTGAAGGTGTCTTTGGTTTCATTCAAAGGCTTCGTCGTTCTCATCTACTTAGTATGTCGGTTTCGACTTTTGATGACTTGTTCAACTTTTTCTTTTTTTGTTTATCTTCAACGTTCGCTGAGTTGGTTGTCTTCCATGGCCCAATATTTTTTTTATCTGGAGTTCATCTCGCCCTTCGACCCATTCGTATCATTGCATTGGGGAATCTATCAGTGGGATTATGAGATTCTTTCTCTTTAAATATTTGGTAATAATCATTGTTGTGGAACAAAACATGTGATGAGCTTGGTTTCATCGGTGGCTAAAAATTATAGATGAAAAGTTAAATGATATTTGTTTTATTAATTGGAAACTGTGAGACTCTATTTAAGAAGTATTTCTCAAGAGAGTCACCTCATTGATAATCCCCCATAGGAAACTTATCCTAAATATTTTGACTGGATAAGAATTGATGCCCAACTCTTGTTGCAAATATGAAACTCTATCGAACCTAATCAATCTGGTCATATTAATCATTGATCGTGTTAAAAATGTGAGCGAGGAATTGACAGTTGTGTTTTCTAGAAAAAAATATTTCTTGAATTTTTTATTTATGCAGGAGTACTATGGGGCTGAACAACATGATCAATCACTTAACATGTATCACATGCACTTTAATAGTATTTATGAAGAATTTAATGCAATATTTCCTGTCTGGATTCAACGACTCAAATACAACAAATAACTATTATGAGTTTTTTTACTGGTGATGCGAGGCGGGGCTTCCCACACTGAGGTGGGATGCGCAGAAGTGGGCGTGAAGCTTCCCAACCTGACGCGGGAAGCGGGAACTCTCACTATTGGACCGACCAACCCAATTGAGGCCGATCTAGGGTTAACCTAGGTTGAACGGCTTGTGGGTGGGAGTTTGATGGGGCGAAACTACTGCCTCTTCTCCTTCCTTTTTTGCTTCTTCTTCATATGGAAGTGTTTTAATGACTAATTTCTTGATATTTCTGGCCTCCCCGCCCCTTCCTTTTGTGTGGGAGTATCCTCTTTATTTCTTTTCTTTCTTCTTCATGTAAGAGGCTATTTATTTGCTGTTTTCAGAGTTTAAGGGGGAGGTTTTTGCCGCGTGTTAATTTCAGATTCCTTTGTGGAGCTGTTCTCCTTGTTCTAGGGCTGTTTCGGAGGAGGTGGTGGTGCTCCGACAATATCCTCTTCCAAGGTGGTGCTGTATCATTTTTATCTTCTTCCTTCCAACCTTCCTCGTCCTCCTAGCCGTCGGCTTTGGTGCTAGCTCGCCCATCCACCCCTTTTCCCACCTGCCACACCTTCCCCAACTTGTCCACATTGCTGCCCGGTTTGCTTTCCATTCTCCAACTTGCAGGCCAGCCTTCCGAATTGTTGTCCCACTATTCCCCCACGTTCCCACCAAGCTTCTAGCTGTCCCACAAGCTCTAACACCACCCTAATATGCTCTCTTCCCACCTGAATCTACCAGCCAACTTACCTACCGATCCCCACACCTTCCCAACCTCTCAACTTAACTGACAACACCAGTAACTCTTTCACCTTGTACCCTTGCCATCGTGTTAAAGCCATCGCCGCCCTGGATGTTCTCTTCCAGTTCTAGCCGGAGATTAGTTTGTGTTTGTATTTGCATTCCAGTTTTAGTCGTGTTGTAATCCTATTTCTCTATTAATAAAAGTTGCTTTTGTGTAATACTGAATTTTCTATTAGTTCCGGTATCATTTGGTATCAGAGCTAGCCTAACAACCTTAGTCCTATCCTACGGTTTCCTAACATCCGCATTACCCCGCCATAGGAAAATTTTCTATCCTACCTTTAACCTCCCATTCCAAAACCAAACCCTAAATTCTCTTTGCTGATTTTCAAAAATCAATAACCCTATATTAAATATATAGCTCTCTGTCCCCTTCCAAAGCTAAACTATAACCCTGCCACCAACAAGATACATGCCCAAGCCTTCCCAGGAGGAGATACGACGAGAGATCCACGGACTTTAGCATTGGATTATGGACATGGAAAATGAAATTCAATGGGGGCTACCATCGACCATAATCCGAAAGGTCAAAAGGGGTAACAAGAAGGTATTAAGATGAAGTGGAAAGCACAACGTCAGTTCCTACCAACTTACTATTACTAAAAGTCACAGATCCTAACATCAGAGATGGAGCGCACCAAGTGACTAAAGGAAAATATGTTGAGATTTTTATACATATTTTACACTATTTTTGATGATATTGCACTTTAAAGAAATATATTTTTGATATTTTGTTGCAGGTATGATGAATTATGATCATTGGAGCAAAAAGATGCAAAAAAGAGCCAATTTGGAGTGAAAAAGACCAAAATGTGAAGAATTGAACTACGGCGCTGACGACGAGCCCAACAGCGTCAACGACGAGAAATTCCCGAGACTCCAGATCAATTAATTTAGAAGGCCCGCCGACGGCGCCCTCGAGGCCGCCGACGGCGAGACCGCCGACCGCGAGATCAGCGGTTATTTTCAAACATGCATTGAATGTGGACGATTTTTGGAGAGATGCTTAGACAACTCTTGAGAATACTCTTCTACATTTTTAAGAGAAGATTTTGGCCGAAAATTAAGAGGGGGCTAGAGGTTAGAGAAGTTCCAGTAGTGTGTAGAGAGTCTAATTGTGAGGAATTCTTCGAGAGATTATAAGAGTGGAGGGAAAGTGAGATTTTTTCCTCCTTGCCGCTTCGAAGAAAAATTCTGTGTGCCGTAAAGAAAGGATGAGATTTAGAGGAACTTCGAGGAGTTTGCTTGGGGAGGAATTAGAGATAAGTGTTATTTACTTGTTGTAGTTTGTATGACTTTACTTTTATATATGAATTTCGAGTTTTGTTGTGTCTTCCCCATGAGTTCTGAGTAGTTTTCTCTGTT